TTTTTTTTTTTTGAGGAATGCACCATTACATAGTTTTAGCCTTGATGAGAAAACAAGTAAATATGATTCCCCACATCCAGGAGTGTGCATTTACTAATACTTAGCTCTTATTGACCGAGCAGGAGGTCTGTATTGGAGAATCTTGACGAAAGTTGTGAGTACAGACTGAACGCATTCAGGTCTGTACACGACGGAGGTCAAGATTCTCCCATAGTGTATTATAATATTGTAAAAGTGGTAGCAGTGGTACTTAGTATTAATAGCAGTATCTAATAGTGGTGGTGTAAGTAGCTGTATTGTATTGTATTGTATTGTATTGTATTGTATTGTATTGTATTGTAAGCAGTGTAAGCAACTGTACTAGTACTGTAAATAATGTGAGTAACCGTATTGTACTGTAAGTAACGTAAGTGACTACATTTGTAATTTGTAAAGCTAGTGAATAATAATTAAAAATGATTCTCCCATACAGACCGACTAAACTTGGTTAATAAGATGTTTATCATATGGCAAACAAGATCAATTTAATTTGTTTAATGTTACTGGTTTGTACGGGCTGACATTTTGCTTGCGAACAGGTGATTAGCTGAACTTAATTCTGCTAATGTTTGCTGGTCCTCTTTGCTTTTTTTCTCATCAGGCTTTTTGGCACTTTCATAAATAAATATTGTTGGAAGAAAATAGTCAAGATTTTTGCACTTTAGTTTGCAACTTTTTCACTGCAAAATGTAACTGGTCTAGATGCCAGTCTAGATGGGATAATTTAGACCACTTTCAATATTGATTTCAGCCAATCAAATCTGGGAATTCGGTAGTTCCCAGTCCTTGAAAGACACAGCCATATAATAAATATAGAATAACATATTACTCACAACAGGTGCAAGTTTTGGAGTTGCAAAAAGAAATATCTACAACAATAATTATTCCTAACTGAAACTAACTTTCCTTTGTATGTATGAGTGCATTTGTGACCTATATAGTGCAATGTAGATGTTTACTTACCAAGGAATTCCAATCCTATCATTGACCTAGAAACATTCTTCCCTGCAGTGATGTTAACACCCTCCCTCAAGGACTCATTAAGGGCGTGAGCATACAAAAGAATGGCATCATGCAAGTAAGCTGCATAGATGTTAGTCTGGAAGAAAAAGCAGCACACAGTTAGCATCTTCATGTATCAGGTCGGCTGGCTCCAGGTGGAATTGAAGATGTCTTCAAAATGCTTGTTTTCAACACAAAGCAAATAGCACTCAAAGAGGCAACTTATGCTCCCAAAGGGAAAGTCGGCAATGCATCAGAACTGTAACATCAACTTAAGCATTGTTTACATAAGTTGCGACTGCACTGCTTTCATCCAAGCATAGACATGCAAACAAAGAAACAGACAAATGTGGCAAGCACCCCTGAATAGGCCACTTGCGCTATATTAAAATTCAGGCCCCAGTTGTTCAAAAGGTGGATAGCACTTTCCACCGGATAAGTCACTATCCAGTGGATACACTATCATAGTGTAGTTTGTTTTGCCAACACGTATCCACTGGATAGTGATTGATATGCTGGATAGCGTTATCCAGCCTTTGAACAACTGGGGCCAGCTTGATAGTGAGGCCTAGGGGACACAAACAAAAGAAATGAATAGACATGTAATTCAGTTTCCTTTGTTTGTGTCCTCTAAGCCTCACTGCCAAGCTGAATTTTAATATGTCGAAATCAGTCAATTTCCTTGATATTCCTTTAAATTTTCACTTCCCATTGTTGAATCAGTTCAAATCACCAAGACTTGAGAGAAATCATAAAGAATGATAATCTTGGACAAATTTCTTCTTTTTCTGTATTGATATAAACAAGACAGATTATAGCTGACCTGTGAGCAAAGAGACAGACCACTACAAAATTAATGGGATTTGTCTTGATCATATTGTGGTTGTTTTGATCCAGAAGAAGATGAAGATCAATATCAGTGGGTCTTCGTTCTTTTCATTTAAAAAACACTTAATGTTTCGCAAAGCTTTTTATAGTATTGGGACACTTGCCTCGTTGGGTGCATTCATGGAATAGTTCATTTCAGGCATCCTGTTGTAAACACTGGTTGTAAAATCCTCATAGGCCTGTGAATCTGGGATGTACTGACTAACATCAATGATTCCTTCAAAGGCCCTACAAGCCTCTTCATCTCTACTATCTCCTGCTTCGCATGAGGCTGGGAGTGTCTCTAAGGCAACCACCACATACTCGCCATTTAATAGACCCAGCTCACTGAAGATAAGCATCAGACGTCTCATAGCATCACCGTAGCAAAGCAGCATAAACACTGTAGAAAATACCGGTTATGAGAATTGGGTCATTCCTCATTTTACTTATTGTTTGTGACAAATTTGTGTTACAAATTTGTGTTATTACATTAAAGGTAACATTTCTTTGCTGTAGAATATGTTGATGAGCAATATAGACAAAAACGAGTTGAACCTGCTTGCTGACTCCCATTGATGCAAGACCTGATCCCTAATTGACCAGTTGAAAACATGGAATAAAACTCAGGTAATCATAATAATGAAATGTAAGTGACTAAAAAGGTAAAACTAAGAGATCATATGACTGTTTTTGCTGCGAAAAGTGTGTGCTGGTAATTTAGTCTGTTTTTTTTAGTTTACCCCTAGGTCACAAGACTTACCACGTGCCTTGGTTGCCATAGACCTGACCATTGATTTTAATTTGTAAAGGTCAGTTGCTCCAGGATCGAAGCTCCCAAAAAAGGGCACCTGAAACTTGTTATCTTTCTCCAGAGTGACCTTTGCTGAATTGCCAGTCTCTGAGAAAACGGTTTCTGTTGAGGCCATGATACCTATGCGATCCCACTTGTACTGGTCTAAAAAGGCTCTTAGGAGTTCTCCCAAACCAGTGTATGTGCCAGCTGTGCGTACAAAGTAGGGATACAGGGTTTTGTCGGATAACACTGAGGCAGTGCATCCCCAAGATATCATGGGAATGTTCCAGTGCTCTGCTATGTAAGCACCAGGAATACATGCCACAGAACAGCCAGGACCAATGAAGACATCAACTTTGGGGCTTTCCACTGTATAATAGTCTACCAAAATGGCTAGAGAACTTCTTGCTTCACATTTACTGTCTTTAACTAAGTAGGTCAGGTTATGTCCTTGAAGCCAGTAAATATCATTGTTTACTTTGTCCATAGCAATAAGGATTGCTGATGCCATCTTTGGACCACCTGGCCAACTACCAGTGAAGGGAAGAAAGATCCCCATTTTAATGTCTCTTGCACGAGACAAACAAAATAAACAGAGAATAGACCCAAGAAGAAGTGACGTTTTCATTCTTGTTTCATGTGATCGTGTGTTTCTGGAAAAAAGAAAAGTGAATAGTAGGACATGCAGAACAATCGGTCAGCAAAAGTATATGGAATGACCTCTCAAAAAGAACAACAGCAAAATAGTTTGAGCGTGTTTGGAGGCAGAGACCATGCGGATGAAAAGAAAAACAAACAACGAGTGGTACAAAATCGGGTCTGTCTTTTACTGTGTATCAGTCTGTATTCCGTTGATAAATCATTGAAGCAGTTCCTGTCTTTAAGACTATCAAAATCTCGTAATTTTTCTGATTGAACTTTGAAAACGTCTGCTTTAGTTGTGAGAATTTTGGAGTTTTCAGTGATTTAAGGCAAATGAATGAACCAGACAAATGTTGAAATCGTTTTGAAGTACAGTAGTTTCAAAACTTTTACTACACGGCAACGAAACCCGTTGAGCGTGCGACCACTAAAAGTACTTGCAGCTTTTTATAGGCTTGAACATGCCCACAGATGAAATTCATTCAAATTTGCCGTTTGTTCCCGTGACATTTCATTAAACAATATAAACATTTTTTGAAGATAGCTTAGTTTGACAAATGGCTCAAAGATGGCTACAAAAATTAAAGCTATAACTTTTTACACTACTCGCTGATTTTGATGAAGTTTGGCAGTGCTTTGGACTTTCAAAAGAGCGGATGAGCTTCAGGAAAGGTTGTATGGTAGTCTGCATTTTGAACCAAACCTGGTGTAGGAATCCGATGGCAAAAAATTTCCGTTAGAGTTCCGAAACGTTGAAAGTTTGTTAACTTGAAGTACTGTGAAAACCATTTAATTGAGAAAAAAATTGAGGGATTTTGGTTGAAAGTGTATAGTGGCATTTTTAGTTTCCATGTAAGTTATAAAGCTTAAATATTTGTCCTTGGTCTGTAGGCCAAGTCCAGACAAAGCTCCGTCAATTTCAGCGACAGAATTCATTATTGTATTGTGGAAAGTGAGAAAAATCTCTCAACTTTGATAACTAAATCGTTTACCAGAACTTTAAACAGCTGGACGAATGCTCCGCAACTTCAACTCAACGGAAAAAAATGACATCGGATTGCTGATTTCCTCTCTTCACCAAAACTTTGTAAGCTTGTTTCGCTTGTTTCGCGCCACGTTTGCACGACTTTCAAAATGTCGGTCCCCATTTTCGCCAGCAAAGCGCTTTAATATAATTGGCAAGAATCTTTGGAAATTCTCTTTTCTCAAAGGACTTGGAAATATTAGAATGACTTTCTAAAAGGACTTCTTTTTCCACCTTTCCAATTCAGTTATTCTCAACCTTACCTGAGCTTCCTTCCCGAAGTATGAAGCTTGTAAACAAGGCTGTTAAACTTTGGCCAGAAGGCGTAGATAGACAACCTGTGGCAACAAAAAGGGACAATTATTAAATTTAGCACTTAAAAAAGGACTCTGTTCATTAATTTAAAATTTCATTCAAGCTCGAGACTTGGAAAAATAATTACGATAAAGGTTCGAGTATGGTGAACTTTGTACGACGCTAATGATCGTGCATGTAACGGAACAAACTTTTCTCAAAGAACTTACCTTTGGCACCTTGTGAGATCACAATAAGTCTTTTTAAAGCGTTGTTAGCCCTCTTTTTGTGTGAATGGAAACCCTTTAAAGCCAACTTCGATAGGTAAAACTATGAAACTAGCACAAAGGTTTTCAATGAAGAAAAAACTTTTCGTCAACTTACAGAGGGAATTGACGAGTATTTTTCACTCACGCCATAGATAGTGGCGCGAAATGCCTCCTTAAAGCTGATTGGTCCTTACGTGATATAATGCATGCTGATTAGTTAATTCAAATGATCGATCGACCAATTCCCGCCATTTTTATTGAAGAAGCGTGCACAATGCATGCCGTGAAATTACGAGGTACCTGGGCCTGTACAAGCAACCAGGACCCTGAGAATGAGAGGTTGCTACAGAACGCAGCAGGCAGCCAGAGAAGGTCAAAAAATAATTCTAGAGAAATGTTCCGATAGGGCACCAGAGCTTACAAAGAGATCATAAAAATATAAAACAAACTGCGGTGATAAACATTTTAAAAACATGCATTTTATGAACTTGACGTTTCGTATGCTAGTCAACATAAATTTTTTAAAGTATAACTTAAAATTTTTGGAAAGCTATTTATACTGTACCAATGGGTGTCTAGAACCTAGACAGAAAACATCTGCAGTAGAAATTTAAGGACGTTCGCGCTAATTGTTTCTGCGCATCCTTACTGCGGACGCAAATTCACACGCCACGTCAACAACAACAATAACAACATCAACAAGGTGTATTTGAACTGTAAAATTAGCTTAATTACTAATTAATAAATAA